GGTCAGTGCACTTGTAGTTGTACAGGTGACTCCCCAGTATCCCCTCCAACCATACAGCGCATTCTCATTGCATAACTGATTGTTTTTCGAACTTGTGCCACCTGACCTCTGATTATTGGCAGCACATGTCCCTGGCCCCACCTCATGTTTCCCTTCTGCACGAAAAAGCCTGAGGGCGTGTGCGCGTGGTTTTCCAGTTTGGCGTCTCTCAACCTTATACGCTATCAAACGCGGAAGCTTGATTCAGTCGAGTCTGACACGTGTTTGATTAGTATTGGATAAAGTCTTGACCCACTTTATTTCCAACATCCAAATTCCAAACTTTATTTACATAATAAATTTTATTTAATAATAAGTGAATATATTTTAAGTCATAAATTTAAATTTAATTTTTTACAAATAATTTTTATTTTTTAATAATTTAATTAATTACAAAAATAAAAAATTATAACTTTTTAATTTAGGATAAGTGTATGAGTATCAAATAAAACAACATTATTTTACCTAAAATTGCAACTAATAAAAATATTTCTTTTGTTGAAACTAATAAAAAGTTGTTTTCTCTATTTTTATCTTGGTACTAAACATAGGTTTTTATTGAAATTTTTGGCTCTATATAGTTTTGATTTAAGTAAAAAAAAATTATTTTTTACTAAGTGTGAATGACAATGCATTTTAATTCTATAAAAAAAAGATAATATGTTTTAGATATTATAAAATATAGTAAAAAAATTATAATGTAGATATGAATATAAAAATATTATAGCCAAATATACAATTTAATATAATTGATAGAGATATTTTAGACTTTAAAAGCAAAATAATCTTTTTACTTACAAGAAATATTTCAAAACTCTTAGTGCATTATAATTTTTTGTTGCGGCAAAACTTTTACAAGGGAAACTTCTGCATGAATAGATAAGATTCTCAAATCCGCACGTCTTGCAACTATCGACGTAGGCAATCACCTTATTCCATACACTCCCCTTGATCAAGCTAACATGTCAACTCAAGTTTTTGAACATTGTAAGGCCACATCAAGCAATTCGTTTTCCACGTCAGGTTAAATTCAACCACATCAGCTTAAGTATAAATACCCCACTCCAAGTAATCCTCAGCCACTACTCTATTTTCCAAGTAATCCTCAGCCACTAATTTTTTTCATTTCTACTAATCTGCTATTCTTTCTCTCTCTCCTCCTTCAATCCACTGAATTGAGCATTAGAGTTCAAATGCCAAAACCGCTTCCTATCATTGCTTCTAATTGTTATCATTGCTTTCAAGTGCATATCCCTTGTCTATATTCTTACACAAACAATAATAAAATAAATTATTTGATATGTTATCAACGAATTTTTTAATTTTTTAAGCAAAATTAATAGAATGATACATGTTTTATTTTTTTTATTTTTTAAAATATATATTAAGATAATGTTTGATATTTGGTGATTATTTAAAAAATTATGGTGATTTATATATGATAATTATATCACTATATTTAATAATCATTTAATGATTTTACGTTACGATAATTTTGAATCATTGAAAATAATTATATCACTATTTTAAAAGATAATTTAATACTTATCCTGAAAATATTGATTTTATCTATACTTAATAAAAAATTTGATTTTTTCACCTGAATAGAGATAAGATAGTATGATTTTAAATTTTATTGATATAAAGATGGAGATGAGTAATATAGTACTCACCTTATATAAGTACTTACATATATACATATATATTTAGTAAGTGGATTTTTTATTAAATAATATAAACTATTTTTTTAGATTAATTAAAATTAATATATTTTTATTTAAATATATATATTAATATATATTTTTAAAAAATTTACATAAATATACAAGATAAAAAATCTAGAATTTTATTTTTTAAGAAAGTTATGAATACGAAAATTATTCATACTCATTAAATACCCACAATGGTGGAGATATCTATCTACCTCATACCCTACCCATTAACATCTCTATCTCATCTAAAGAAGTGAGAAACGTTTATCACCAAGGTGAAGTGATCCGTAAAATTAATAATAATCAATATTATATATTTAATATTTGAATTAAAAACTTGCTTAACAAGTTAAAAAATATTTTGTATGATTTTTTAAATTTATTTATAATATTTTAATTTTAATTTTAATATATCATTTTTATTTTCTAATTCAATTATTTTTTTATATAATTTATATTATAAAAACTAGTTTTCTATCAATAAATATATTTTTATATAATAATTTAATTATATTTATAATGAAGTAAACAAATATTACTAATATTTTATATGCAAATCATTATCTTTAAATAACATTAAAATTATTAATTTATATAGCTATTATAATATGCATAGTTGTTTTAAACTTTCAAAGGAAATAATATTTATTTTTTTAATACAAAAAATAATGATATTTAATTAGTATGACTTAATGGTTCTTAATCAAATAAAATAATTTCAGATCATGAATGATAAGATCACTTTAATAATAAAATCAATCGATGATTAAATTACTTTGGTGATCTTGAAAATAATACCAATCACCTTGTGTAACCCTACTTGTAAAACTAATACACTTGATAATTTCTTCAAATGATAATGTAATATAAAAATTATGCTAATTGATTTATGCAATAATCTTTAAAAAATTATCTAATTAAAAAACTCTACTATCAATATATTTGACAATTACTTCAAATTATAATAAAATATAAAAATTATGCTAATTGATTTATGCAATAATCTTTAAAAAATTATCTAATTAAAAAACTCTACTATCAATATATTTGATAATTTCTTCAAATTATAATATAATATAAAATTATGCTAATTGATTTATGCAATAGTCTTCAAAAATTATCTAATTAAAAAGTTTTGAAATTTAAATCCTATATCTACTACTACAATTCTTTTTTTTTTTTATCAGACTTTGAAAAGATAGTACCTTATATATCTCAAATATGAGTGGTCTTAAATCAAACATGAAAAGAAAAAAAAAGTGTATTGACATTTACGTTTCTAACTACTAATATTGAAAGCACTAAAAGAAGGAAAAATCTTAAAATGTTGTTTTATCACTAGAATAGACAATGATCTTAAAAACCGGACGTACTGTTTTTGTTTTTTTAAATACAAAAACGAACTTATGGTATATAATTTTTTACTAATTTGATAAAAAATAAAATTCGTAATTAAATATTTAAAATTTTATTTTATCACACATTTTGAAAAGAGGATATATATAAATTCAATTTAGATAAAATTTAAATTTTATTTGATCATTATTTAGATAATTCAAATTTGAATAATTTAATTTATTGAATAAACAAAATTGAAACATCTTAATATTCAATTTGATTAATTTACGAGTTTAACTAAATATTTACATTTAAAATATTTTTATTATTTTTATTATAAAATTATTATTTTATCTATATATATAAATTTGAGTTCAAATTCAAGTTTTGAATCTACAATCAAATTTCAAATCAAACATAATAATTAAATTTTTTTTATTAAATGAATTTAATTAAATAAACCCAAGTAACTCAATATTTTGTTTTAAATATAACTTAAGTTTAAAAATTAAAATTTGAATAAAATTTCAAGCAATAAATTTTAAATTAAATTTAAATTTTTTGTTATATCAATTCGAATCACTCTTACTTTTAGACTAATATAATTAATTAAATTATTAATTTAATATAAAATATTTAATAAAATCATAACATGTCTAAAAAATACTCAGTCATCATCACATAATCTACTATCAGCCAGCGTTAAAAAAATTTACAAAAATTTTAAAAAATCTTAAAATTTAAAAAAAAACTTAATAATATGAAAAACTAAAAAAATCTAAAAAATGTCTGCTCCCTTCGCTCCCTCGTCTCCGTCCCCTGACGTTGTCTGCTTCCCACCTCCAGTCCACCGCCTCTCCTTTGCTCGTTCAAGTTGCTTTCTTTAAACACCTCTTTTGGCTCCTTATTAGATACAACAGAAAAAAAGAAATGGAAAACTACTGATTTTTCCGTCAGCAGTGAATTTTAAGGGAGGCCTTACAAAACTAATCCAACCCTTATCAACCCAATCCACCTTCTCTTTCCCATCTTTGCTACTACCATGACAAACAATTAAAACGAAAAGGAAAGAAGGAGCCAAACGCAGATTCCATAACATCCCCAAAACACCAAATCTTAAACAAAACAACAATTTTATTTATTTATTTTTCACTTTTTAAAGCTACCTCCAACACCAGGACAAGGCTTAGAGTAATCACCAACATGATTAGCATGAAGATTCACAAGCTTTAACTCTTCAGAGGGAATCTTTGGGATGCTTGGCATCATGATGAATCTGCATCGACATCGATTTCAAATATGGAACCGTTGTTTTGCAATGTGGACACTCGAAATTAGCATGCCCACCCTTCTCCACCCCCGAACGGTCAACTAATCCGGAGTTGCCGCTGCCTCCATTGATTGAGTTAGCACCGATTTTGGCGGCGATTTCCTTGAATAGATGATGAGGATGAAAGAGAGAAGAATCCAAATATCCAAGCCCTGTTATGGTTTTGAAATTATTCACCTTCTTTTATTATCTCGTTTATTAATCGGAAAAGGTAGAAATAAAATAAATGTTTGGTTAAGATTTTGAGTCTCGTTGTGATTTTTTTGTTACTTTTTTAAAATTTTAAAAAGATTTTTCAATCTTGACCTACATTGATGATAATATATAAATAAAATTGTTGACACGTGATATATGATTTTATTGGATATATTAAAATAAAATTTCATTAATTGTATAATAATATAAATATTTAAATATAAATATTTTTTAAAGTGTCAAATTAATAAAAACTATATAATACGGAAATTATTTTTGTATTTATTTTGAAAGAGAAAAAAAAAAAGAAAAAGAAAAAATCGGTGGAAGAGAGGAGTTTCACGCGCAGGACTTGAGGGTGGAGATAACAAATAGGGAAACGAAGGAGGGAGAAAGAAAGGGTGAGTGAGAGATGGTCGTGCCACGTGGGGCAGTGTCTGGCGTACCGTCTTGGCATCATTCCAAACAAAATTCCCCCATTTTCCCTCTTTGCCTATGGCGTTGGCGCTCCTCCTTCTGCATCCTCATCAATTCTTTTTCCCCTAATTTTTGTTCTTTTTTTTTTCTCTCTCTCTCTAGATCAATTCCATATTAGCGTTATTCTTCCTTTTTGATAAAAAAACTAGCTTCACCCAATCAATCAGAGAGATAAAACTGAAAAAGGTTTCAATTTATTTTTGACAATCCCCATTTTCCAGATACTTCTTTTTAGTTTTGGATTTATTTCATTTCTGACTAAAGCTGATTTGGGTTTCTATTTTGAATCTGGAAACTGCTAAATTTGGAAGCTTTGCTGGGTTTTGTTTCTGCTGTTGTTGATGAATTTAGTCGAGTGGTAGCCTTTTTGTTTGCTTAGGTGGATTGAATTTAGGTTTTTCTTTCTTTGGCTTTCTGGGTGTTTGAGAATGTGAGTGATTTGATGATTTCTGTTACTCTTTTTGAGTTACCAGATGGAGAATCAATCTGTTCCTGGTGTTAAAATTTGTTAACTTGTATATCAGTTTCCATTTTGGATAGAGTTTTCTACCCTGTTGAATTACATGTTGTAAGCTGGAAACCCTCCCATGTGTAATAAAGGAATAGTTGATCATCAACAGCAGCATAATAACCAAGCTTTGTATTTGATGGATTCACCTTCATCATCCCCGGCATCTGCCCCGTCTTCTTTCTCCCCTAGTTCCAATGATGAAACCTCGCGGGTAAAATTCTTGTGTAGCTTCTTAGGTAGCATTTTGCCTCGACCCCAAGATGGAAAGTTGAGATATGTTGGTGGAGAGACGCGGATTTTGAGCGTACCGAGAGATATTAGTTATGAGGAGTTGATGAGTAAGATGAGGGAGCTTTATGATGGAGCAGCTGTTTTGAAATACCAGCAGCCAGATGAGGATCTTGATGCTTTAGTGTCAGTTGTGAATGATGATGACGTGACTAACATGATGGAAGAGTACGAGAAATTGGGTTCGGGCGATGGGTTCACTAGGCTTAGGATTTTTTTGTTTTCGCATCCTGACCAAGATGGTTCATCACACTATGTTGATGGGGATGAGAGGGAGACTGAGAGGAGGTATGTGGACGCTTTGAACAGTTTAAATGAGGGTTCTGATTTTAGGAAGTGTGACTCTCCTGTGATGGCTCCAGTTTTTGATGATATTCATTTAGCAGAACAATTCTTTAACAGTATGAGTATTGATGGTGGCCTTCATAGCCAGAGGAGTGGTGAGATGTATAGGCCATCATATAACTTGCAACATCTTCATATGGGGTCTGGGCAAATCCAGCAACCAGTTCCTCAGAGGTACAACGAAATTGAGGGTCCATGGAGTCCTGCTTACTATTCTCCTAGGCACCATGATCCGAGAACGCTATCAGAGTTTCCACCTTCTCCATCTTCTGCTCGTTACCGAGTACCATTTGCAGAATTACCAGACAAATGCTTGGATAGAATGCCTGAAGAATATGTGCGGCAGCAATTAAATCATCATCCCCAATACGAACATCAGACACAATTTTCAGATAATGTAGTATGGATGCCAACCGGAGCTATTTCTGGTGATAAGGCTGGTGGTTTTCCTGGTAACATACTTCATGGCCATGGTGTTTATGATGGGAACCACATCTGCGAGCACTGCATGGCTACTTTCAGTAGAAATCAACCGCCATATTTGGAGCATCCCAACATGGGAAATGGAGTTCCTCAGGTTAATTATCCATGTGCCGATTGCCCCCCAAACCGGGAAGCATTCATGCTGAATGCAGATGGAAAATTGCATCACGGGTTTTATTCCAGAGATCAAACTGATCCCCATTCTGCCTATGGTGAAAGTCATGAAAGAGGATGGGTTTTGCAGCACCAGTTGAACCCTCGTGTTGACGAAGTGAGAAATCATGTACCTGGAGCTGGTAGATTGAATTGTCACTATGTTGTAGATGGTGCCTGCATGAATTTACCTCTTGGGCATGCTAGCTTAGCTGATGGCCATCATCTATCCTCAAATTATGTTCATCACCGTGCTGGATCTGAATTGGGGAATGAAGTGTTTCACGATCAAGCTGTAGTTGGTTCACCCCATCTGCACATTCCTCCTGAAGAACGTGGAGTCCGGTATGGAAATTATCCTTACCCATATGGAGGAGATAATGTTTACCAAGCGCCACATGGACATGTACATGCGCAGTCTTTATGGAGAAACATTCAGAACCCAATTCATGGTGCTCCTGCTTATGAAGCATCTGGCGTACCCCAGCAAGTAAACGATGCAGTTAACTCAGCATTTTTGAAGGGTCCGGGAGAAGGTAGTGCAAGGCTTTGTGTTACAACAGATAATCAAAATCCTTGGGTTGAGTCTTCACAAAAGATGCTGGGATTTGATGGGATTGCTGTTCCAGACAATGCTTATGCCCATCCTCTCAAGGTGAATGTTGGTCTTCATGTTAATGAAACTCAACACTCTGCAGTTCCAGATAATGCTTATGCCCATCCTCTTAAGGTGAATGTTGGTCTTCATGGTAATGAAACTCAACACTCTGCAGTTCCAGATAATGCTTATGCCCATCCTCTTAAGGTGAATGTTGCTCCAACTGGTCAGGAAACTCAACACTCTGTCACTATAGAATCAGTTAAATCCCCTCAAGACATACTACATTTTGCCACTTCCATAGAACCTATGCAGTTGCCAGATCAACCTTCAACTTTAATTCATGATAAATCTGCTTCTGGTAACAATTCAAAATCACGAGATAATTCTAATGCCACTGGAGCATTGAGGATTGAGGAGAAAATTGCTCCCATGGAAGATAAAGAAGCAAATCATGTGGTGAAGATGGAAAAATCTGATGTTCCAAGCATGAGTGGCCCAGAGCAAAACAAAATTACTGAAAATGAATCTCAACTAGCATCCCTTGAGTCTGGCATTTCAAATTGCTTAAAACTTTCTGAAAAAGGTGGTGAGCAGGCAAAACCTGGTGAAAAAGATCCTAGTTTTGCTGAAAATTCAAAGCTATCTGTAAACCGTTTGAGTTTCATACCAGAGTTTGTTGCTTCAGTTAAAAAAGCAGCTTTAGAAGAGGTAGAAGAAGTGAAAGCCAAAGTTGAAGATGGTGCCTCTGTGAAGCATGATGCAGTTGAAAAAGAAGCGCTTGCAAATGAATCTGAATCAGTGGTGAGATTGAAGAAAATTTTCTATATTGAAGAACATCTTGCAATGTTATATTTTCACTTTCTAATATCTTTTTGCACTTTAGAATGGCCATTGCGAGTTGGAATTGGATTTTGATAATGGCAAAATAACCCCTTCCGAAATTGAGCCAACAAAGGCTGAGGCAGAAGCTTTTGCAAGAGGCTTACAGGTCATTGTTTGCTTTTCTCATAATTAACTTAAAATTTTTTCTCACTATTATTTCTTAAGACCGTTGATTCTTTTTTTTTATTTTTTTATTAAGCTTTGTTTCACATGTTCTTTTACCATTTGGTTACTAATGGTATTTGCATTTTAACTTAAGACAATAAAAAACGATGATTTAGAGGAGATCCGAGAATTAGGCTCTGGAACATATGGGGCAGTTTATCATGCCAAATGGAAAGGTTCTGATGTAGCAATCAAGAGAATTAAAGCCAGCTGCTTTGCAGGGAGGCCTTCTGAAAGAGAACGTTTGGTAATACCATTGTAACTTTTCCTTTTTATAAAGCTTTGGCTGCATATCCTTGTAATACAAGGCTACTAAAGGTGAAGAAAGGCTTCTCATAATATGTCTTATATGTGCCATAGATTGTATGGTATTGGTTCTGGGGGTATTTGTTTACCAATGTATCAAGGTTTTGAATGGATATTCCACTGTAGCAAAAGCATGTGAGTTTGTTGGAAGTTAAAAGGGGGAAGAAGCAATATATGTAATCCATTATTGCCCAATGACTAAAAGATAAATTGTGTATATAACTTGAATGAATGAACACTATGTTGTCTCACATGGAACAAAACCAGTTAATTTATTATAACATTAAAAAATAAAAAAAAAATTTATTGTTGCTTCAAGGCATGTAAAGGGAAAAAGGCAAAGGAAAATTCTTATAAATATTGTGATTAAATGGAAGCAATTCAGCTGGTGAATTGAATGTTGGAAAATTCTGTTTTTTACTTTGGCATCAAGAAAGGTTGTCAAAAGATAACTTTGCAGTTATGAACTCTCTAGATCACATCCTACCAATTGGCTCCTGTTCTTTTTTTCTTCTTTGCTTGGATCCTGGTGTAGAGATCTTGTTATCACTACAATGATAGTTCCTTGTTGCCCTTATTGTGATTGTCCCACCAGATGTTTCTGGGAGACCAGCTTTTTTTATTTGCTTTTTATATCTTTGTATTATTTTTTTACATATCTGGTCTATATGTTTTATGATTTTATCCCCTTGAAGTTAATACCTGAGCATGGTGGCAGTTAAAGCAAGGGTATTTTGTGGGGCAAAGTTCAATTGTTCATTTTTATTAAGTCCCTCTTAAGGATTCTTTTTTCAGGAGCTCTTATGATGAATCTTTATACCATTGCTGAAATAATCTCATTTATATGATATTTTTATGCTTCTTATAAATTGATTGATGGCAACCTCTGCTGCCATAGATTGCGGATTTCTGGAAAGAAGCTTTGATATTGAGTTCATTACATCATCCAAATGTTGTTTCTTTCTATGGTATAGTTCGTGATGGTCCTGATGGATCCTTAGCTACTGTTACGGAATTCATGGTTAATGGATCTTTGAAGCAGTTTTTACGGAAGAAGGACAGGTAACCATGTTAATAGCTATGCGGTTAAGCTTCCTTTTGAGCATCTTCACTGGAATTTGTTCTAGAATTATTGTTGTTTGTGTTCACAAGCACCTTTTTGTTCCTAAGTAATATGTGTGACACAATAATACTATTGAACAGGACAATTGATCGTCGTAAGAGACTCATCATAGCCATGGATGCTGCATTTGGAATGGAGTATTTACATGGAAAGAACATTGTACATTTTGATTTGAAATGTGAAAATCTGTTGGTAAATATGAGAGATCCCCAGCGTCCAGTATGCAAGGTATGCTGAATAAATTGTTTCTGGTACTCTAACTTTAAGTTGGGTTTGGGTTTTTCTGGTGTTGGAAGAGAGGGTGGGGGGTCTGCAAAACTTGTTTTGTGTTCTTCCAAAGTTTCTGGAAGAATCTGGATGTTATTGTCAGCTTTCTGTGATTTCTTTAATAGTAGAAGCTTGGTAAGAGTTTCAGCTTAAGATCGTTTCTTCAGCATAGGCTCTTCTTACCTTGGCCTTCAATTTGATTTTTTTTTTTTGTTTGTAAATTTTCTTTCAAGCACGTTAGTGTTAGTTTTCTTTTGATGGTCACGGAGTTGGAACTCATGCAATGCATGCATACCCTTTTAGATTGGCGATTTGGGTTTGTCGAAGGTCAGACAACATACTTTAGTTTCAGGAGGTGTTCGTGGAACTCTACCCTGGATGGCACCTGAGCTCTTGAGTGGTAAAAGCAACATGGTATCTGAAAAGGTAATACCATATGCTGGCTATAGAAATCTGGGAACGGATACAGCTGTTCTCAACATGAGTTCTTTGTTTCCTTTGCTTCTTAAGACATTTTTTGACTAATTTTATTTTATTTTTATTTGGCCAGAGACTAATTTTATTCATGTTTCATTAATTTCTGTCCTTTAGATTGATGTGTACTCTTTTGGGATTGTTATGTGGGAGTTACTCACTGGTGAAGAACCTTATGCAGATATCCATTGTGCTTCTATAATTGGTAAGTGTCATAAATCACAGTATCTTCTATGTTGCGAGTGATTTTCTACACATCTCCCCTGCATTTTACACATCTTCCATTCATTTCTACACATTTGAAATGAAAGAGAAATCAATGGTCAGATGTATGAGTATGGACTTCTAACTCTATTCAATAGTTTAAAGGATCTTTTCTGATTTAAGGATTGCTATTCTACTAGTATGCATGTTTTTGGACTCCACATTCAGATTATACATTTAGATGTGAACTTGGCCTGTTAATGGATTTTTTTACTGCGACTCTTCCAAAATTTTCTTCTTTTAACATGCAGGGGGAATTGTAAACAGCAACTTACGTCCAAAAGTACCAACGTGGTGTGATCCTGAATGGAAGGCTTTGATGGAAAATTGTTGGACCTCTGATCCTGCAGAGAGACCTTCATTTTCTGAAATATCTCAGAAGCTTAGAAACATGGCTGCTGCAATAAATGTAAAATAAAGTAAATCCTGAAGCGAGGATTTAACTTTCTCCCCATCATACTGGAAAAAGAAAAATAAGAGGCCGAGTTACTGCAGTTTAAGGTCATCTACTGGTTAGGCTGATAATACACTACTATGCCTTGGTTCTTCTCTAATGGATCTCTTATAGCATTGCCATGGGTTCTTGCAAAAGCGAAAATCTATACACTCTGGGCTGAATTATACTCAGAGAGACTATATAATATGCAAAGGAGAGCCATGAAAGTTCCATTTGGATGTGAGTTTCGCTTACCCCAATTTAATCTTAAATCTAGCACAAAATGGTTTCTCATGATGATTAACAGGTTTCAACTTCCCCCCTCAGGACTGTTGCTATTTTGAATGCGATCAAGATGGTGGTACCATGGCTGAATGTATCTATCATTTGAGGTGTGACTGTTTTTTCTTTTTGTAAGTTCTGTATACAAGTTTATGGTACTGAACAATGTATAGCACTTACGAGCCAAAGATGAATAAGGAGTCAAATTTGCTATTAATCACTTTACCCCTGTTATTATTATTATTAGACCAAGAGTTCATATTTATATGGTGTAAATTGGGTTTTCAGATGTATATGATTATTTTAAAAGGGTCGTCCTGTTCAATACTGATTGTGGCTGTGTGAAGCTTGAATGGTTCAATGCAGGCTGTCTCCATTAGTATTAAACTTATTTGAGAACTTAAAAACACTATTCCATATGAAATATCAAAATGTTTGCACTGTACAAATTAATGTAACATTGAAGTTTGTTTGTTTTTTTTTTTTTTGCAGTTCTATGGAACTCATTTAAAAACATTGAGATTCAGTGTAAATTGTATAATTGTGATGCTAAGGTGTCTCTAGTCATAGCCTTGTGCTTGTTTGTTGGAGGGAAAAAGGGTAGTCAGATCTCTAAATCAAGTAATTTGTGCTTGTTTATGCTCTTGCAGGAAAAGAAAAAAGTTAACTGAAACATTACGTGGAATAGCTTCAATTAACATAGTGAAACAATAAACATGCAAGAGGAAATCTTGTTTGATTGACATTTATGCTTTGTATGTCCCACTAATCAAGGGTGATGAATGTTCAAACATTCGATTGATTTTATTCCTCTGGTACAAGCAAATTCTTTTTTGATGTAGGAAACTAATGAGGCATCGAAATTATAAGGGCTTTGCCTTTTAATGTTTTTGCTAATGATTAAAGAAATGAGGTGAAGTAAGAATTAGCATGGCATCACCAACTTTGCAAACCAAGCAAAACTCCACAGGGTCAAATTTTGTGACACCATCATCTCCACCACTCCGAACTCTCTTCTAATCCTGTTGCTCTCTTAAGTCTCATGCAACTAACACATGGGAAAATCTATTTATTTGCAAGTCAAAGGCCAGTGACCTTTTGTACTTTTCCCTAAAAAATATCTTCGTTATTAAGTATCATAGTTTAAATTATAATTATTGAAATTAAAAGTTCAATTCTTGAATGAGGATTTAAATTATGAATATTGAAATTAAAAATTCAATTATCTATCAATGAACTTCATGATATACGATCAAGTAACAAATATGAAATTGAATAACAACGACAAATGATCTAATCTATTTGTTAGAAATTTGTATAACTAAAAAAATAGAGATATTTTCAAATTGCATGACTATGTATATAATCTTTTATGGTATTGTTAAAGCATTGCCGAGTGATTTGTTTTTCAAAACATTAATCCACCCACTGATGAGAATTCATTCTATGGTAGTTTTGCGTTTTTTTTTTTTTTTGGTCCAAAAGATAAACAGAGGGAACAAAGTTCTGAACACTTTCCAGTTACTCGGAATCACGAGTTCGTGACCAATCATCACTCAAACATGTTTGATGCAGTCTAGAGGAATTTTGCATTGAAATTAAGTTCGCATGTATGGTCTCTTGGTTAGCAACCTACTACATGTAACCAGAGAAGAAAAATCAGGAAAAAAATATGGAAAGAGCTCAATTACACTGTTCACATCACAAAAAATGAAAGACTTGTCTTAAAATCAGTCTTCCATTGACTCTATTTGTGAAATTTTTGCAAGGAAACAACAAAGTTCCAAACTATAAATGAATTCTGGCCAGTGAAATAGAAGGATTTCTTGGATGTATACTGAAAGGGAATTGGTTTGTTAGCAAAATAAAAATAAAAAAGCAATAAGGGGGTGAAGTTCTAAATTTAGTTCAATTAATTAATATAATTATCTTCAAAAACTAATATTCAACAAATTTAAAATTTGAATTTTAATATTTACAATTCTTTTTTGATTTGCAGACGCAGCCTCCTAAAAAAGGGAATTGTCAATTGTTTGTAGCTTGAGGCAAGGGTTAAAGATTGGAGACCCATTTGAGCTTAGCAGCTGCGTCCTTTTGCCCTTTGTTTTACAAGAAAAAAAAGTGCATGAAAGTTAAACAAGTATTACGGTATATGGAAGTCCAACAATTACATGCATCATTGTCGACTTAGCTTTGGAAAGTAGAGATATAAATGATATATTCATACTCATAAATTATTTGAGTTTAATTTAAATAAAATTTAAATTTGATTTAATTATTATCGAGTCAAATAAGTAGTTCGACTCATTGATCAAATTCAAGTAATTCGATTCATTAATCGAGTTAAGTTCGAACATTCTTATATTCAGTTCGAATAGCTTGCGAGTTTAATTAAGTTTTTATATTTAAAATTTTTTTATTATTTTAATTAATAAAATATCTGAAATTTGAGTTAGAATACAAATAATTGAGCTTTTGTCGAATACAAGAATCTAACTTATTTTAAATATTAATCGAGTCTAATCGAGTGAGCTCAAGTTATTTAATTTTTATGTCGAATCGAATTCGAGTTAGAAAAATAAAACTCGATTAAGTTTAAATCTTAAATTTTGAATTGAGCTCAAACTCAAACTAAATATTGTATCAACTCAAATTCGATGAATTACATTTATAAATGAAATGATTATTCTGAGTTCTTTTTTATTTATTTTTATTTTTGAGAAATTTAGTCTTATCTTGATCTGTGGGTAATATAAAACAACGAATCTAGAAATCACAGGTGGCTTAAGGGATCAATAAACTAACATCATCATCAAATAAATGATTACTAGTTTCTTTCAACTTAGTTATTGTCCTTAACATCACGCCTATTAATATTCAACCCAATCGTGTCCATTTTTCAATAATAAATATTTTAAAAATAATTTTTTATGTGAATAAATTAATATATTTATTCAATCCAAACTCAATTGATGTATAAATTAAAAATTAAAATTTAATTTCTAATGATACAAATAAAAAACTTATATTTTTACAATAAATATAAAAATGAAAAAAAATAAAAATATAATAACTTGAATTTCATTCATAGATATTATACTATTCAATAGATATATTAAATTTAAATTACACTAATAATTAAAATCATTTATCCATAATTAATTATATTCATGGATACCATAAATTTATGAATACATAAATTTATAAATAGTTAAATTTATTCAATTTAAGTTTGATTCATAATTATTTGTGTCACTTAATAGTATATATGAATTTAGACTTAAACTATTAAATTTAAATGATACTAAACATGATGTATATTCATTTTCAATTATTGAGGTTCACAAATACCATATATTTGATTAAATTCATGAATAATTAATCATGAATAATTAAATAAGTGTAATTTGAAATTAAAAAAATATTAGTTAATAGTATCCATAAATCAAATAATTATAAATTATGCATAACATAATTTAATCAAAATTTCACGATTATATAGATATTATCTACTTTCTTCCCTTTAACATAATCATATTTTTCTTTATAGTATCTACTTTCTTACCTTTGACATAATCATCTTTTTCTTTTCTTTTTCCTTTATTTTCATCTTAAATAGAAGAGAGACCATTGCTTAGCACCAAAATGATATAGAAAATAAATCAAGTATGAGAGAGATGAGGACACTAAAACCTTAGACCACATTCCTCTTAAGGAGGAGTAACTGTTAAGTATTTAACTTAAAATCAATTAGTAATAAATGGAGATGTTCAATCTGAATATAAGAATATATGAAATTGAATATTTATTAGATATGAGATAACCCACTTTAATAGGCCTCTATCACGTGTAGGTGAAGATAAAAAAAACCTATTATGTGACAGATTTTGAAAGAGTAATAAAAGAAAATTTTGATTCTTATACCATGAAAAAGAAAAAAAAATTGATGAAAATTTTATTATAATGATTTGTAATATTGTCAACAATCTTATCAAAATCTCTAATGAAAGAACCCCTTAGTAGTTGCCAATATTAAATCCCATATCAAAACATCTTAAAATAAACTTGGAAAAACAAAAGTAAAGCTTGAATCCAAATAAGCTCATCCAGCTTAAAACCCTAGCTTAGTGTGGCGCCATTGCCTACGCTTCGCTCTGTACCTGATGGTGTTGTCGTTGCATATACGGATCCAGTATGGAATGGGTCTGTTTTGCCTCATCTTCTTGGCTGGCTATTTCTTGATCCTGAAGGTATTGTGTGATGGCATGTTTAGCGGTTTAGGAGGGGAAGCTACGCTAGGGTCTTGAAGCTGCGGGATTTGTTAAAGTGTGTTATTTCACATCTAATAAATATTTAATTTTTTATAATTTTATATTCAAGTTGGGTCTCTCCATTTATTGTCAATTGGCTTTAAGTCGGATGCTTAATATGGTATCAGAATCAGGATTTTCTTTCGATGCTCTTTCTAAATCTGTCACGTAGTAAGCTTCTTCAATCTTTTCATACACCTGAATATGTTATGTCACATCTAATAAATATTCAATTTTTTGTAATCTTATATTTAGATGCATCTACCCATCGGTCAGATCATTTCTCTCTCTCTGAAAAACCAATCAAAGAATTTCATTATATCCTTTCTAAAATCGTTCTATTTCGTCTGATATTTCGTAAGGATAAGTAATACACGGATATAGCAAAATAAAAAATATTTTCTTTTCTGCTTCTATTAAAACGAATAAAAACCCCTCGAATGACTCAATATCAATACTGGAGTATCCCTTAGTAATGAATGCTCACGCGAGTTGGGATAGAGTAATATTGTTTAGTTGATGTTGTGGGTTATTCCATATATTCAACATCTAATAAATATTCAATAACAGTAAATAAAGGGGTCCAATCTAATAATTATTAGATGTGAAATAACTCACAACATCTACTAAATATTCAATGGCAATAAATGGAATATTTAGTAGATGTTATGGGTTATTCCATATCTAATAAATATTTAATTTTTTGTAATTTTATATTCAACATTTAATAAATATTCAATAGCAATAAATGAAAGGTCAAATCTAAATATAAGATTATAGTAAATTGAATATTTATTATATATAAGATAATCCACTTTAACATTTTTTATGATTGAGTTAAATTGGTCATATTATCATTTTTTAAAAAATAACATTTGATAGGTTTGAAATTTAAATTTAAATATTTATATATATTTTTATCTCCAACACCTTTTTATATATAAAAAAAGAAAAAAAATTAATGCAATAACGTGTAATATTTCGTTGGATTTTGCCAATTTGGCTTACTTTTGAGTACTTATACTCCATGTTTAATGCATATATCATATATAGGTGATATAGGTCTAGCTTAAACCCGGAACGAAGGGATCAAAAAGCAAAGGGATGAGCCGGTACCTAGAAGATGAAGGCCTAAAAAAACCCATTAACTTTTTGCTAATGCTTGCTTTGGGGATCTGGAATAAACTTTAGAAAAGGGGAAATCTTGAGTTCATTACTCTACATAAATTAAGCACACGAACTTCAGTTCATTTTGGAAGAAGGAACACTTTTATCAAAGTATCCGAATACGGGTTGGCCAATGTTTAAGGATTCAACGTGAGGTTTGGATTAACATAAAAGATCCCAAACTCATGATCATAATACAGAACGACTGGTTAAACCAGCTAATCATCAATAATGTCATTAATTATTGCATTTAATACAAAATTATTACTATAAATAAAAAATCAACTAATCTTAAAAAAAAAATTGTCCTAAGTGGTCCTAAACATAGACATTTTTGTATTTATTGTGACAATGGTTGATAAGAAATTATATTTTACTTTGATAAAGTATCATAATCTCTTTTTTATTATCATATTCCGATCTTTTTTATTAAAAAACTAGTGTAAGTATCATGGCTCTTGTCTAACTGATAAATAGAAATCTTCACTAAGGCAAACAATTAATTTGCACTTAGCATCAATCATTACCCCATATTATTGTTGTATGTAGCCAATAACAATCCAAGCTTATATTGTTATGCAGGGACCCCCACCCTTTACCAGCTCTCACTCAAAAGTCTTAAGCTTTGGTCTTATTGATTATGAAACATCAGAGTATATATATGTCGATGCATAGATTCTAGGGTTGAGAGAAAAGACACGCAGAAACATGTTTTTTTTTTTTTTTTTCATCTGTAAAAGATCTCAGTCCATTTGTTATTTAAGATATTAGTATTTTGAAAGCGTGAGTGCTTTTGAAATTTTGATAGCTTTCCTGATCTTGTTGTTTCTATGTCTAACATATTACAGTAAGAAAACCAAGGTCAATGAATGGTGCTACTTCTAAAAGGTTTAATAATCAATCCTCTTCCCTATGGCATTTTCTTCCTTTTTTTTTTTTATTTATTTAACGATAAAAGATTCCTGAGCTTTATTTTCTTCCTTACTTTTGTTTAAAGTATAGCCTTTCCCTCTTTTTTTTTTTAATTAAGCACTGCAACCCTAGCTAGCCAACTTGCAATTGTTAGGCCTTGATAAAAATATTATCTTATATATCCCAAAATCAACAGGCGTCAGGGCACTGGTGCTATTGTGACTATTTAGTTCTTATTATGAGATGATACAATAAATTTGACCTTAATTAAACATTAAAAAAAAACAATTTGTGTTATTAAAAAGAGAAAATGCACCAGACATTTATTATTTTTTTATAACATTTTATTTTTATTCAAAGTATTTAAAACTCAAAATTTTCATCTGTGGCCTTTTAGAAATATTTTAAATTTATTCATTCTATCAATCATTGTTAAAATTTAATGGAATATGTCATTTAAAGTAAAATTTCACATGGCATAAGTTTTAGTTCAAAAAGTTAAAGGGGTCTCACCTTTTTTTTGCCATATGAACATGCACATGGACATATACATGATTTTGAGATGATAAATTTTATCAAATTTTAATAACGATTGATAGAAAAATTAATTTGAAATATTTTTTAAAAATTGTGAATGAAGAGATTGAATTTTAAAAGTTATAGATAAAATAAAATATTATAAAAATATCATAAATGTATGATGCGATTTACAATGTTAAAAAACCATTTTAGCAAAGTTTTTATTTGTATACTTGCACAATATTTCTACAAATTTGCTTTCATTAGAACACTTCAACATAATATTTTGGATAGAACTTCTATCAAAGGGATATCCAACTACTAATTAATAAATAATGAATTAGATATATAATACTTACATAATAGCTACTAAAGGTTAAAAGGTGCCAAAAAAAAAGTTTAGTGTTATGATTTATACTATAAATTTCACATAGAGGAATTTATGTAATTGAAAACAGGTGAGCGAAATCTCAAGTTAATTGTATTAAAAATATTAATTAACCTTAATATTTCTTGTAGTACTTTCACCAATGAGGAATTTCTTGCAACCTTGTATGCATTTCCTTGCTTATTTAATACAAGCACAAAAGCAAGAGATTATATATATTTTGAAATTTAGGTCATGAATTCCAATGAGCTGTTAGTTTAATAGTATTGGAAATGATTTCAAAATTAAAAATCTTACTTCAAATCTCAATAATAATCCAAAAACTAAAAAAAAAAAAGGAAGGCAATGCTTGTAAAGTTTCACATAGCACTCTTTATACTTAGTCATCAACTGAGAGTGATGATGGGGCTTTGACGGACCTTGCTTTTATAGGCATAATTTCTCATATATTTCTACGACTGTGATGTGCCTATACTGCCTACCATAATTGTCACTTTGACAACAATAAGAGAATGAAGGATTTTGATGATATGCATTGTCGGGGTGCTTAATTGGTCATATATATAGTGTTGTGGACTTGATTGTAGTCACAAAAGCAGTTTCTAGCTAGATTGGCAACTGCTTTAATCTGTTTTAATTTGCAGTGTAATATTTGACACCAAACATAAATCCAAATTAAGTGAAAACTCCATGCGCTTGAATATATATTTAGCATTGTAATTTTTGGTGGAAATGGTTGTTTATTTGTGGCCTCAAACACAAATAATGGGCACTAAGGCCACTGCATGCAAATGTTAAAAAAACCAAGACCAACCACTAGACTGGATAATGGTATATTTATATCGTATTTATTTTGTATTAAACACATATAAAACATAAAAATTATCATGCTAAATTCATATCGACATGCCAAACATAAATAGCTTCTTTTTTTAATTTTTGTCAATATTAAAATTTTAAAGTATATTATTTTGTGTCTTTTTCATATTATTTTCTTATTATATCATGTGATATTTTAAATTGTCATATCTAATTTCACCACTCCGGAGAGATAGCATGGTGAGCTAGCCAATTCAAAAGCAGTAGTGCCTTTTACCCTATCAAGTCTTACTTGAGTTGTAATTAAGCATGTATCAACTTTATTACACACTAAAAAAATATTATCAGAAAATTAATTTTATTTTAATTGAAAAAAAAATTATAAATGTTTAACCGAAGAAAGATGTATCTTTTACTTGCAAGTAAAATCAAGCACATGGCATATATACTATGTGCGAAAACGAGGTGTCTTTTTGTGGTATGAAAGTTCTTTTGCTTTCTTGGTTCAAAGAACAAAAGAAAAATTATTGTTTCCAAAAAATCTTCAAGGGAGAAATGGTTGCCACTCTGATCAATTTGTCCAACACTGCTTTTCCTTCGTCATAGATTGTTACTTTTCCAACTAACATACGTACTCTCATAATATACCATTTGACCATAGATTTTAACAGTTGTCTGTCATTCCAAGAAACTTCCCTGTAAAAAAAATCATTAATCAGGGATTATAGTATATGTTAAAATAATTAAACATGTTTAATCCAGAACATTCAAGGTATCTCTGATCCATCTCTTGGTATTTTAATCTTTACATATAAAAGCCAATGATGTGCCTTAATTTCCCATATATAAAATAATCTTTTAAGTATAGTCTAATTAAGCATAGATTAATAACGGAACAATTCATGGACATAGGAGACAAATTGAGAGGGGAGAAGGATTTTTTCTTATCAGGTACCTGCAGTTGTAACATTGAATTCAAACTAAGGATGTTAACGAATGGATTTGAGGCGGAGTCAGGTATAATTGTTAGGAAGTCGGATCAAAATTGGGTTCAAACTCCAAACAATAAACTAATGAAACCGAAGAAAAAGCAGTGAAATTTAAAATGCAAAAGAAGAAGAAAATTTGTGATATACTTTCTCTAGTTGTATGTATAGTTTAATTACAGATGAGAAAACAAATCAAAAAGTAGGAGAGAGAAAAACAAAAAATAAAAGAAAGAGAGAATAAAACCTTGCTGAAACCCTAGAGATGGAAGAGAAAATAGGGTTGAAAAATGAGGTGAAGAGAGGGTGAGAAAGAGGGTAAAGTGCAAGACTTTTTGTTCTCATAAATGCCTTACACGTCACTCGCTATTTCTTGCCTATAAATCTTGCTCTTTCCTTCCCCGATTTTTCCCAAATATCTAAACAGCTTTCCCTTGCTATTCCTTTGCTTGAAGAAAGGGGGAAAAAAAAAGAACACGTACGGACAAGATGGGTCGAGCTCCTTGCTGTGACAAAGCCAACGTGAAGAAAGGGCCATGGTCACCTGAAGAAGATGCTAAGCTCAAGGCTTACATCGAGAACTATGGCACTGGAGGCAACTGGATTGCTCTTCCTCAGAAAATTGGTACCCTATACCTACATAAAACTTATTTCTTGTTCGTTTCTTTGAGCGGAATTTATTTGCATGTCGCTAAAAATTATGAACTTGACGTTTTGTATTTGTTGGGTAATATTCAAAGGCCTTAAGAGATGTGGAAAGAGTTGCAGGCTGAGATGGCTGAATTATTTGAGACCAAACATTAAGCATGGTGGATTCTCTGAAGAAGAAGACAACATCATCTGCAGCCTCTATATAAGTATTGGAAGCAGGTAAATCCTCTTTTTTCTCTCAAACTTTTAGGCTTGGATGGCTTGTCTTTTTATTCGTTGTCCTTGATACCTTCACAAAAATATATGTAAAAGCCTGCATCTTGTGCTTAATTTCAGATATTTTTCTTTTTTTCCCTAGGGTTTCTACAATTCTCCTTTTGTTCTTCATTATTCGTCTTTTTTGGTTGAGGGTGATCTTGACAGAATTGGTCGACTTTTTAGGTGGTCCATAATTGCAGCCCAACTGCCTGGAAGAACAGATAATGATATAAAAAATTACTGGAACACCAAACTGAAAAAGAAACTACTTGGGAGGCGCAAAGAATCTAACAGCAATAGGTTGTGGTGCTCGAGTCAGTACCCTAGTGAGGCCAATGGGGCAAGTGATAATAAATATTTTTCACAGGGTTTACGCACCTCAACCTTGGAACGACTACAGCTCCATATGAAGCTTCAAAGTCTTCAGAATCCTTTCTCGTCCTACAACAACCCTGCTCCACGGCCTAAAATTCATCCCTTGCAGGAAAAGATGATCCAAAACATCCAGGCCTCCAAAGGAAGTTCAAACCTTCGAGTGCAACCTCTCCTGCCAAACCCTCAAGCTGAAAATGAACAAAGCGCTGATGATTTCTATGATCAAGCTTCTCTAGCGCAACGGCAAGATTATCCAAAAACCATCAATGCCAAGGGACTTGAATTGGACAACTCTTTGGATGAAATATCTCCATCAGATGGCTCAGTTCCCTTTGGCACCGGGGACAATTTGATGGACTCAGAAATTATGCCTAAGGCAGATAGCAATCATCATGGATTAGCACAATTAACTAATGCGGCTCTTCAACCAGTTTCAAACTTTCAGGCTGAGCTGGATGAGTTTCTCAATAACAAAACAACCGGTTATGCACCACAGGAAGACCAAATGGCTGATCAATTCGATTGCTTCAAGGAGATAAATGGTTCAAAGGACAACTTGATTTGGTGGTCTAGTGAATTTGATGCAAAGTCATCATCTTCCAACTCTTGGGATTCAAACTCTGTTCATCTATCCTATGGAATGTTTCAAAATTATGAATATATGTAGCCAGACAAAAAAAGAAAAAAGAAAAAAAAAGTAGGGATTGGTTTACTATTTAAGCTTATTTGTGGTGGACAATAGATGGGTAAGACTGGATTTCATACAGAGATCATGTAAACTGTGTGAATAATAATGTTAATTTCCTTCTCAGTTTCTTGCCAAATCTGAATGGTGTGGTTATAAGTACAGTTGTTTTACCTCCTTCTAGAGCTTCAAACAATAGCAATCTATTCTATGCTACTTAAGAATCATGACCAAATAGCATCTTTGTTAGTATGTTCAATTAGGGTTTTTTCTTTTAAGAACAAAAAAGAAAAGAAAGCAAAAACCGATACGCCAAGATGAATCACATGACATATAACACATTAATTTTCCTTATGACAAAGGATTAACTCATTTTTGTTTCAGATACTTACGTGAAATCATTCAAAGTTTAAAATGCTTTGAGACAAATATGTATTGACTAAAGTATTCTTTGAAATGGAAACGAGAAAAGTTAAGAGTTTTCCTTTCTCAATTTAAGTTTTTTGATTTGAAGTTAAGAGTTTAATAATTTATCAACAAATCATATGATTGAAACACATGTTTTCATGTATATATAACAAATTAAACATGAGAGATACAAACACATAAAAATAAATTTATTGCAAGACCTAAACAAGTTCCTTATCATGCATATGTATGATAACTTTTTGCAAAATTTACTTTTTTTTTATCAGGCAAACTTTACTTTTTAAGTATGTAGATCTAATGCATTAATGTTTAAAATAAATTTAGAGCTGTTTGTTGCCTTGGTACTACAAATTAAATTTAGAGAGCTTTTACTACTTTAATTGATTCAACAAAAGTACCAAAAAAATTCAAGTTTAGCCCAAGGATCATTACCTTAAGAAGGTTGAAAATTGAAGGTTGATCAAATCTATATATATATATATATATATATATATATATATATATAGGGTTTAGGGTTTATATATATTTGAGATTGTCGACAAAATTTGATTATTAAAAAGGTTCATCACAAATGCAAGCAATTATTGTAAGGTTCAACAAATGCCCCTGTCCTCTTCCCTATGGTACATATTTATGCACGTTTGTTAGAAGAAAATGTAGATTTTAATCAGAAGAAATGAATTCAGTTAATGTTCAAAAAGAGAAATAAATTAGCTGTATACATGCATACATTGGCCTAGGCAAGAACAGTACATTGTAAAATAGGAGGAGCTACCCGAGGTTTGTGCTGCTGCACGCGTCATACGTGCATCAAGGTTTCAACTTTGAATAGATAAAACAAACAATAAGCAAAGCTATTTGGGACTCTAGTAAGCAAAGCCATTTGGGACTCCAGTGCAATGACTTATTATGTTGTTCCCAGCTCTGTTCCAAGATTCCTTGGAGACAAGAATAACCTGATTCACAGTAGCATTTCAAGGAGTTGAGTGACTTTCCTGCCTTTGCAAAGTTACTTGGCAACTGAAAATTTACACACATAAAAAGGGTAGTTTAGAATTTGTATTTACTTTTTGGTCGCAAACAATACATAAGATCACTTGGGCCTCATGGTTTATTTCACCTTGTACTGCCAAACACAAAGATGAAAACAAACAAGAAACATGCATCTTCCCCTAATAGCCTACGCAAAATTGCTTAATTGTTATGTTCAATTCTATACCTTCTTTTATGAATAAACTAATTTATAGCATTAGGTGTAAACTTTTTTCTTTAATATAAAAAAAAAAGATTTGAATTCAACTTGAACCGTGCTTTCTGACTTAGGTTGAACTTCGCTAATATCTCAATTTTATAAAAGAATTAAAGAGATTATTATATGTGTTATTTTTTTATTATATCTTAAAAAGTATGTCACTTTCTTAATCTTAATTGTAAAATTTAAAAACTCTATTAGCAATGGACCTCTTAATTTCTCTTTTAACGTGATATTTGACTTAGATCTTGTTTCTTGAAGTTCCATGTGGATGGTTTAGCAAAAGGTGACCGAAGGCCTATGGTTGTGGGGGTGTATGAAACGAAGCTGGAGTGGTTCTGGCGATGTTTTGAGGGCCGTTAGGAAACCAAGAATCCAATGTAGCAGAATTACTCGCCATCATGACAACCTTAGAGGTGCTCACCAAGAAGGGCGGGATGGAAAAGATGGGTTTGTTAATAGAATCTGATTCTACGGTGGTGGTTGGATGGCGTGTAAAGGAAGAAACAAGACCATGGAAGCTGTGGAAGATTTTTTAGCCATTGACAGTTTGATTAGGGAAATAGGTATGGTTAGGATTATCAACGTATTACGTGAAGCCAATGACATGGCTGATGCCTTGGCAAAGCAGGGGGTATACCCTTCTGAATTGTTTCTGGCCTGGCTGTAAAGGGCATTGAGGTGACTTTGTGTAACTGATCTCTGAATATTGTATTTTGGGCATCATTATATAGTAATCTCCTGACAAAAAAAAAACTCTTGTAACATTAAAAATTCTACCGTTAGTTTATAAAAAGGAAATCTTAAACCAAAATTTGGTAATATAATTATGAGAAAGGCTGTTTTGGACGCTTTTAAATGTTAGCCCAGTTTTGATCAGAAAATTAAAAAAAAAAAAAGCAGATGCGGTGAGCGTGGATCGAACACGCGACCTTCAGATCTTCAGTCTGACGCTCTCCCAACTGAGCTATCCCCGCTTGTTGTTAAGTCCAGTAAACTATACTTCTAGTTTGGTATCTTGATAAAATTAGACCGTTAAGAATTTTTATATTATAAAAAAACAATAGAGTGCTGAAAATTAATAAAAAGAAAAACCCATATTATTAGTATAATGGAAAGATTTCCACAGATATAAGTTCAAAGCAAATCAGCCACAAAGATGCAAACAGTTTCCACGAACAACCATACCCTTCTATCTAGTTTTTCCCTTTACCCTTCATGTCATTCATCTCAGTCACAACCTTGTGGATCTTACAAACAACTACTACCGTGGCAGCTACGGCTTCCACGGCTTGCTGCTAATGTGCTATTATTGCAACCACAGGCACCACTGCTTTTGCTGCCCCTGTGACATTTTCTTCATTGAACACTGCTGCTATTGCTTCTTGTGTAACCTTCTGTCGCCGATTGAGCCATCTCTACCAAATTACCCAATAAGCCGTGCGTCTAACTCTCCGATCCAGTTAAATTTAGTGTACAATTGATAGGATCGTTTTCTGTCTTATTTTGGGGTGGCTATCAAACGCGTATCTGTTAAATTTCGATTCAATTCGATCTTATAAAATTAATTTTTTTTTTTTAAATAGAGTTTCGAATTAGATCGATTTTTTTTTTAAAAAAAAAAGGATTGAATTTTATGAAACTCACATCGACCCGATATATATATATTAATTTTTTATTATTTATTTAATTTTATATTTATTTAATGTTATATTTATATTTAAAAAATAATATTTTATTAATTTTAGGTTAGATTAGATCAATTGTGCATTTAAAAATATATAAATTAGATTAGATTTGAATATAAAAATAATATTTTAATATTAAATTAAACCAAATTCAAATAAAATTGTATTAAATTTGAGAAAGTTAAAAATTCACCCCAATCCAATCTATTGGCATCCCTAATCCTATTTATATATTAAGCAAGTGGAAACTTAACTAGGCAGATTCTCATCAATGAGCGCACCAACCCAAGTAGCATGTATGAATATACATTGGTAGATGGATAGCTCATGAACCTAGATATTATGTTTTTCATCATTATCAATAAATCTACACAAACCAAATTTAATTTTCTTAAGTGGGTCTTTCTTCCTATTCCTCGTGTAAACACTAGACTGACTGTGACAAGTATTCAAACAAATTTTGGAGTAGATCTTAAAATTTGAAATATGATATGATAATGTAATATAAAAATAATATAAAAATATAAAAATGATATAATTTAAAACTTTAATAAAAATAAAAAAAATTATTTTATGTTTAATTATGAACATAAATTATAATAAAATAAATTTTGTATTATTACACGTACTTGATACAAATTTAACAAAACATACAAAAAAAGTTAAAGGAAAATGTCTAGCATTTTATGGAGAAATAGGGCACTTTTTTTTAAAAAGATTCTACCAACTTTTTTGGCATATACATCTCGAGAATAGAAAACATACAAAGTAAATTCAGTAAGTTGCAGTCTTTTTTCCAAAGTTAATTAATAATCCCCATTTGTCTTTAAGCAATACTATAAAACTGAAACATTGCAATGAGTCAAATTTGTCATGTCTGATAGCTGAAAGCATCTAAATCTGGATCTAATGCAATTAAAGAACTTTAAAAAAAAAAAAAAAACTTTACCACACACTAATCAGTATAGAGAAGAGAATTGGTTCTCTGTTTTGATCGAATACAACAATCCAATATTGTTAATCTGCATGAATTATTAATAAATGTTGAATTCTTAATTTTAATGATAATCCCGTAATGTATTATTCGAGCTCATCTTTTCTCTTGATCATGCATCCGTAGAATTTGTTGCGCTATATACTCTATCAGTAGCTTTCTGTGCCTGCAAATAGAGAAAATAGAATTTAAGATGGATGATAAGAGGGAAAAAATATATATGCGTGGTTTAACTGGCAAAAGAGCTTTACTTCTTGATCCCATTTGCTGCTTAGAGTGACCATGGCTAAAGATAATGCTTGCACAAACAGTGCCACTATAAGTCCTGTCCAAAGTCCCTGTGTAAAGCAAAAGGAAAAAGATTTATGTCATACATACTACTCCAACCTGCCATGGAAGTGCACAAAGGTAAGCAATTAGATTGGAAAGCCTTGAAAAGAACCTAAGTTTAAAATGTTACCTTCCCTCCAAGATGGTAGATAAAAGCCAGTATAATTGAAGAAGGGATACCCATAAGATAATATGCTCCCAGGTTAATCAAGGCCCCAATTCTCTGCCAACCACATCCCCTAGCAGCCCCTGATTTTTTTTTTTTTTTGGGGGGGTGGGGATAATTCCAATTTCATTAATGGAGAAGCACAAATATCAGAAAGGCTGTAAGAAGCCAATAGCAGAAATATGTGGATAAAACTCGGTGGTGGATCAAAGATTTTTTCAAAATTTTTTTGTTTTAATTAATGGAGAAGCACAAATATCAGAAAGGCTGTAAGAAGCCAATAGCAGAAATATGTGGATAAAACTCGGTGGTGGATCAAAGATTTTTTCAAAATTTTTTTGTTTTCTAATCTTTGGGATGTCCATGAACACCCTACCATCGCATTTGGATCCGCCTATGATAGTATTGAAAAAACCCGTTCAAAGAAGTGCATATTTCTATTGTAGCATATTAATGTAGAGTTAGAAATTTTAGATGGGAAACATGCAAAGCTTGAAAGGAAATAGTGAAGAAAAATAAGTATTGAAAGTTGTCACTTGCCACTAACCTGTAAGCACAGATTGAATACCATCAATAAAATGGGAGGCTGCAATCAACAGCAACATTTCTCCCACATATTTCACTACTTCTTCATCTTTGCTGTATAAATGGCCCCAAGATTTTCGACCCAAGAACATGACAGTACCTGCTATAATTCCTTCAGTGACCACTATGAACACTGCTACACAGACTGCTAGATAAGCGGCTCGTGGTCGTCCAGCTCCCAGTTCATTGGAAACTCTTGTGCTGATTAGGAGAGAAAATAGATTTATCATGAGGAGCGAAAGAAAAAAGAAGTAAATCACATGAAATTCAAGAGATTGTATCAGCCATTTAACTTGAACTAACCTCACTGCAGCACTAAGTCCAAGAGGTATCATATAAATCGTTGAACATGTATTAAGGCTGGAGTATCAATCTCACAATTGGTCAATGATATTGATGAAATTTTCATCTATTATACATTTAAAACTATGGTATTTGTCCTTGATCAAAATAGGATGGAACATAAACCTGATTGCCAGAACTGATGTTTCAAGCTTTGGATTGGGAAGAAGGCCAGATAACAGAACCACCATCTCAAACGACCAGATTTCCAAGCTGTTCCAAGACATGTAAGCTATGAGAGACAAAACTTTCTTCAATTCAATTAATTACAATCAACAGCAAAATGAATCTGAAGCTAAGTTAAAAAGGGGAAATGAAGGTTACCAGAGCATTATAGCTGAAGGAATTGATAGTCTTAAGAACTTGTGAATACCATAGAAGGCTTCCTTCGAGTAGCCTGTCCAAGTCTTTTTACAGGAGGGAGAGATTCTGACATATAGTATTAGAAGTAAAGCATTAATCCAGTAAGAGAAGGAATTTGCCAAAGCAGCACCTTTATTTCCTAGACCAGACTTGAACACCAGAATCCAACAAACAAGGATATGAAGTAATGTTGTAAATCCTGAGATAACCATCATTGGAACAACATTGTTTTGGGTTTGTAAGAATCTGATATGACATTCCTGGATAGCAAAACCAAAAATGCTAGGCAACATGAAACGAGCGTACTGTCCAGCTTCAGCTGATATTTCAGGATCTTGTCGGAAGAACAAAAGAATGTCACCAGCATTGGACCAGATAAACGCAAGGGGAATGCTAAACAGTGACAGGACAATCATGGCCCTTTGTAAGTGAATTCCAAGCATTGGATACTGTTTTGCTCCATAGGACTGACCACAGAATGTATCTAATGCACTTGCCATTCCTCTCTAACCATCAGAAAGTGGGGAAAAAAAAGAATATCAGGTTCATTTCATCTTATCATCAAGTAAAAAAAAAAAAAGATTAGACCCAATCTTACCAACAAGCCAAAACCAGTTACTGAAGCAAAGGAAGTTGCCATTGAAGCACCAGAAAGTGGTAGGTTCCCAAGATGACCAACAAACATTACTGAGATAATCTGCAAAGCAAATATCAAGAAATTAACTGACACAAGAGGCCCCGCTAATAACAGCTGCTTCTTCACCTCAGAAAGAATCTCATCTTTGCCAAATCCCGCTTGAGATTCAAAAGCGTCATCTTGAGAAACCAGTGGTGACTCAAGGCACGTCCTTTGTTCTTCTAGTTTCTCCATATTTTTTTTCACACTTCTTGGAAGCCCAGCTTTATATAACTTTTGAACTTATATATATACTTACACAAGCGATATATTAAAAAAGTGACATATATCATTTTGGTATATTAAAAAAAATCTAATTAAAAAAGAAAATAAGACATAATTATTTTTTAAATCCCATTAGTGTAATTAACATTACAGTAAAATAGTATATTAGCGACAATTTTGTGGTGGCCTTTTATTTATAAATGTTGCTAGCTTTCATATTTTTATAAAATTTAAGGTGTTTTTATTCAAATGTTACTAAATATTAAAATAGCGGTTTGTTATTTATAAACGCCACCCAAGACTTGATATTAGGTGTTTCTCGACTAAAACGCCTTGAATATTTTTTATTAAAAATTTTAGTAAATAGTTAAGACATATTTTTTACAAACAACGCCTTCAATTATCACGTTATAAAAAATTGTATGAGATTAATGAAGGCGGTGTCTACAAGAAACGTCTTTAATATTTGGATCAAATAATTTCGCAGGCTTACTAAATTTATTTTGTTCAAAATTACATTCAATATTAAGTTTATCAAATTGTTTGGATTGTACGGATGTTTACCATAAGGTTATTGGTTTGATCTATCTTTTAGCATTTTTTTTGGTTTTTGCACAGATTATTTGTTATTGATTATTCTAGGTATTTTCTTGGTAAAAACGCCTTCACCAATTGCTTTAAAAAAATTTTCATAAAATATTGAAAGTGTTTTTCATGGAGAGATGCCTTTAATAATCCATAGAAAAAATATGGAGTCGATTCTTGAAGGCGTTTTTTGTTGAACTCACATTCTATAATCCAATCAGTAAATTTTTTTTGTGATTTTTAAAGGTGATTTTGTAAAAAACGCCTTCAATATTCCATAGACAAAACTTGGATGGGATGCTTAAAGGCGTTTTAGGCTCAAAACGCTTTTAATATTCCCAATGATAAATTTTAATGGTCAAATTATTGAAGGCGGCTATATCCAAAAGCGCCTTCATAAACATTTTGTATGGGATTATTGAAGGCGTTACCCATAGAAAAACGCTCTTCATAATCCATTCGATTAATTTTTAATTTGTATTATTGAAGGCGTTTTTTGCCCAAAATGCCTTTAATATTTCACACAAAAATTTTATGAGGGAATAATTGAAAGTAATTTTGGTAAAAAATACCTTCAATGTTTTCTGTTAGGGGTAATTGAAGGTATTTTCTTGCTAAAAATATCTTCATTAATCACATTAAAAAATCATATTTAATACTGTATATGTGAAGTCAGTTATAGGTTTATGCCTAAAAAAAAAACGTTTGCTGTCAGTTGTATATTTATGCCAAAAAAACATTTGGTTTATATATCTGATACTATGAATTACATTACATAATGAACATTGTTGTATTTCAATAAATTAACTACACATCCGAAATTAAAACTGATAACGTTACCATATTAATATACTTTTATGAAATAATCGTATTCAGTAATTTATTAAGTACACATAGTGTATTCATATTAAGTATAGCAATAATATTAAACCAATACCCCTAATGTACAAACTTAAAGTTTTCATTCAACATGGCATGTTAAAAACATTATAACAATTTGTTCTATATATATTTACATTCAACCAACAATGTCTAACTTGAAGGTTTATCAATATTGATAAATGACAATACATAATCACATCATTCTTTACAGACTTCATCCAGCTCCTTTTTCGTGAAGCTTTCTTTACCCTCCCACTACAAAAAAAATTAGAAGTAAATGTTAAGAAATGATAACATAATGTACCATTTTATTTTTTTGAATATATAATGAGTTTATGAAATTTATACTAACCTTGAATGGTGTGATCATAAAATCATGTAACACTATCTCTCGCATAAAACGAAGAACATAATATCTACATTCAGTCTTACCGAGCTGATGAGGTACGTAAAAATTAAATTGAGTCTGTTTAAAAAATATTTATCTACATAAACTCAGCATTAAAAGAATATATTTCACATTTATCGGTAATGACACCCATTTCAATTTCTTTATCTTCTTATTGAATACAAATATTACCCTAAATTGAAAAGAAAAAAAATTAGTGGGAGCATAAATAAAATTACTTATGAAGAAACAGAACATATATAATATAATAAAGTACTGTAATACCTCTTTATAAAAGTTTGAATATTGGGGTTAGGTATCGCCGTTGGATTAACTGAATTAAGAAGGTATGGCGTTAAGGATTCGATGTCAATCACAATAAGCACCTAATGACGACTGCAAAATAATAACAATAATATACTCAGAATACGCATAAGATCATAGAATGAGCAGGTAAGAGTAATTAAGGTTAGAATATAGCTTACTGTGCATTATACGGGAGCAAATAATAATCAGTCGATCTTTTCATGCATAGGATCACATGATTAGCACGATACACGACTGTGCCACTCTGTTCACTAATAAAGTTACGATCAATGAATCTAAATCTGTTCATCAATTGTCTCCTCTTCAGCTCTCTATATAGGAAGCTACACGATAACAATCATTATTACTAGTTAGTATTACACCTTAATACTAACTTATTATATATTGAATGTGCATATTTGTATTTATAAGCTAACCTCATATAAGCAATGATTTCAGCAGCTGATAATTCATCAATTTCATAAAATTCTTTCACCTCGTCCACACCAATGAAAAAAATGATTGTTTATCAAACAAGTCTTCCTCCGACTCAATGGATATAAAGTTTTCACCGAATAAATGCTCCAGCGAATATTTTGTTAACTCGTCCATGGAAGCCTGGGCACGGGTTATACTTTGAGTTTGAACATCCTCCTACAATATTTAATGAAATATAAGTCTTAAAACCAAATCAATCAATATAATAAACAAATTAATATTCAAATTATAAACAATATCATACTTCTTGAGTGGTAACGGATGATGGGATCGTTTCTTTACTTGCAACGAAAGCTTCTCGTAAAGGGACTATGCTATCAGGTCGGGCTACTAGCATTACCTGTTGCATTGCTGCCAACATGGACTCCAAAGCAGCTAGTTTTTACTGTTGGTCATTGAGGCGTTACTCCTGATCATTAATTTGTTTCTGTTGTTGCTCAATTATTACTTCATATTGTGCATTTCTCATTTATGGAGTTTTTGTTGTTTACCAAAATATGTTGATGGCAAGATAAATTTACTAACCCCACGAACCTGACCAGGCATTTCTTTAACGCCTAATACTAAAAACAAAGGATCTCTATCATACTAGGTTGCTAGTTCACTAGATTTTACTTTGACAGCATAATCATCCTAAAAGATAATAATAAGTTAGGCTTTTAGAACAAATCTACACAAGCTAGTATACATTCATGCATACAACCATAATGCCAATCATACATTATATAAAAAAATAGTTATACATACAATCTTTTTTGTCATTTTTTCGGTTGCTTCATCTGCGAATGATCCATCCTTCCATAGATGTCTTTGTTTTTAAACATCCCATCTGAAAACTTTTGTGTTTGAGCTCACTGATTCTTATTAAATTATCATAATAAAAGAATCAGAATGTATGAAATGAATGTTTATAAATATTCATTAATGAGTATAAAATAAGTGTGTGAATACATACAAGCTTATACTTCATATTTGTATATCATTTTCTTGCTATCTGATGGTGATATTGTTGTTTGGCCTGAATGTCCCGATGTTGTTCTTTGATTTTCTACAAAATCAAAAAATAATGTCAATCATATATGAAGATCAAAGGCTATATTGCATAAAGACTTGTAAACTTGGACTATTTTGGTAATGGGTTTACGTATCGAAAAATCTTCTGAAAGTTGATATTGAATAAAATTTATCCAATCTTCAACACTTATGACATCTGTATATGCTGCAGGTGAAACAACCAAAATATCACCTTTACCAGCCAGCAGTAAAATATATTGGATTGTCAATTTACTTTTAAAGTCTCTGAAAGCTTTCCCAGCAGATTGTAACACAATCATTTTACACTCAATTAGGATGTCAAACCGTTCCTAAATAAGTTAACACAATTAGTATCAACACATTGAATTTCAATTAAATTATCATTTAACAAATTTTATGAAATAGTTGCATAAACATACCATAACGAACTGCCATATCTTATCCTTTAGACTATCAGAAACTCATTGTCAATTGGTGTACGTAATTGAAATCCTCCGATGGACGATGGCTCTAATATGAGTAGCCATCTTGGCAACTCCTTCTGACACAGGCTGTCCACTTCGATTGAAGTCAACATGAATTTTTATGTCATTCACTTTGATTTATTTATTTGGGCCCCTTCCCTTTTTTTTTTTGGCCTACACTTATTTCTTTTACATGTTCATTAGAAGGAGAACGATGTTGTTCGGAGTCCATAATACCTGTAACATTGATCATAATTATACAAATTACATAATATTACCCTTTAAATTGATCATTATAATTAATTTAATACAACTAATACCATATTATGTATAGAAAGAGCAGTTAGCACACTATTCAGCAATGTGCTCATATACACCCTTCAGCAAACCACTCAAAAACACCATTCAGCATACGATTTAGCCCCCCAATTTCATTCAAACTCATTCAGCAAAACAATATCAAACAACAAAGTTTAGCAAACCATTCAGCATGAAATATGATTCAGACCCCCAATATCATACAATACCATTTGGCAATACATTAACAGTTAACAAGATTCAGCAAACCATAATATTTAATGCGTACTACATAGAAACAACATACTTGTAATATGAATAGAATCTTGAATGATTATGCTGACAGTGATGTTAATGAAAATATATAAACACATATGTCAATATTAAGGAACCACAAAAACAAAAACTCTCTAATGAATATTGTAAATAATACAGTAAACGAAAAAAAAACTTACCGGTTAAAATAAAAGTTCACAGAGGTGATTTGTTGAAGGTCGGTGGTGAAGAATTGGAGAAAAAAACCAATGGTCTGCTAGAAATGTGTTTAAGGGTTTGGTTTGTTTGGTTG